GAAAATATGTTTGTATACAGGTCCCATCTCATATGGCTATCGAAATGCAGTCCAAGGTACTTAGTGTTATCAACTTTTCGAATAGGTGCACCCTTTATATTTATATGTAGATATGTTGAGTTGCTATTGCAGTTATTTCCAAAAGCCATATATACTGTTTTGTCAATGTTTAGTGACAGTTTATTCAATGCTAGCCAAATGGATATTTTGTTTAAATAGAAGTTCATATTTCTTTCGACTTCATGCCATGTTTCGCCTTTCACAATAATTACCGTGTCATCAGCAAAAGCCGACACACTATCATTTGGTAGCAATTGTAACATATCATTTATATAGATTATGAAAAATAAAGGTCCCAATATTGTACCTTGTGGTACGCCAATGTTGACTTGTCGATATTGACTATATTCACCATTGATTTTAACTCTTTGTTTCCTATTACTTAGATAGCTTTTGATAAGTTCATACGCACTTCCTCTAATTCCATATCTGTAGAGTTTTTTGAGTAGAATTTTGTGGTCCACAGTGTCAAAAGCTTTCGCTAGATCCACGAAAGTTGCTGCTATTGATTTACTTTTGTCTAGTTGATTGTATATTGAGTTAGTTAGGTAGTATAGGGCATTTTTGGTGCTAAGACCTTTTCTAAAACCAAATTGTTTATTAGAAAATAAATTATGTTTGTTGAAAAAACTTGTAATCCTGATTTGTATTAATTTTTCAAAAATTTTGGCGATATTTGATATTAAAGATATAGGTCTATAATTTGTTGGTAGATACTTCTCTTTAGTTTTATGGATAGGAATAATTTCAGCACTTTTTAATTCGTCAGGCCATATTTCTTTTTGTAAGCATAAATTAAAGATATAGGTCAACGGATCACTTATGTGATTTATTATCACTTTAGTACCTGAGTGTTGATGCCGTCAGATCCTCCATTTTTGTTGCCCATTTTTCTTATTGTTTGTTGAACTTCTATTCTATTTGTTAAATGTAGAAAAATACTGTTGTTGTTCATAGGTGGTAGAGTAATGTTACTATTTATTGGTTGTCTAATATTATCACATATCTGTTTGCCTACTGTACTGAAAAATGTATTCATTTGTTCTGCAATGTCGTTTGAGTTTGTAATTTTATTATTACCTATTAGTAGATGATTTATGTTATTGTTTTTTTTGGTTTTCTTCCCAATTTTGTTGTTGATTATTTTCCATAATTTTCGTGGATTGTGTTGATTTGTTTTGATTTGATTTTTTTCATATTTTTCTTTAGCTAGATCTATGGTCATTTTTAAAGTTTCTACATAGTTTTTATATTTTTCTCTTTTCGTTGCATTATTGGGATCTTTTTTCCAATTATTATAAAGTTTTTCTTTGTGTGCACATGATATCATTATTACTTTAGTTATCCAATTACTCCTTGGGTTCATTTTATTCTTATTGTGTTTATTGTTATTAGATGATGCCGTAATACATGTTTGTATTTTTTCTATTAGTTTGTTCGTAGCTAGATTAGGGTCTTTTATAATTTGTATGTCAGCCCAAACAGTTCTTTTGGCTTTATTTTTTAGTTTAAAATAGTTTATTATTTTGAAATTGGTTTTTTGTGTACATTTATAATTATTCCTTAGACTCATCAGTATTGGGTAGTGATCATTGAAGGGTACGTTGAGGACGTAAGTATTATATTTGACTTTTTCTAGCTTAACAAAGAAATTATCTATACATGTACCTTTGTTAATATCAACATTGGATGGTCTTGTTATGGTATGTAGTCCAGGGCAATATCCATTTTCTAGCAGTACTTGTAAAAAATCTTGATCTAGTATTTCCTCTCTCAATATATCAAAATTAAAGTCGCCCATTAAAATATTGTTTTTATATTTTTTGTTTATTTTCAATAATTCTTTGAGATTCAATAGGAATTCAGATTTAGATAAATCATGAGATCTGTAAATTGCAGACAGCACCAAATTTTTGTTGTTTTCTAGTGTAATATTAGAGTTAATTATTTTTAATTTATCTATTTCAAGAATTTCTGTAATTTCGGTGATTTTTTCTTTCATATACAAAACAACTCCATCTGATTTGTTTATTTTACTTTCATTGTAATATATTTTATAGTCTGGAATATTGAACATTTCATGGTTTTCTAAATTCCATGTTTCTGTGCATACTATTGTACATGGTTTTTTTTCGAGGTTCTTCAGAAATACTAGCAATTTATTGTAATTTTTTTTTAGGCTTCTGATGTTTATACATAGAATGATATTATTTTCTTTACATATATATTTGTTTAGTTCATCAATATTATCTGTTTTATGTTCATTTTCAAATATAATATCATATAAGCTGTTATCCATATTGTAATATTGCAGAAAACTATTTAGTATTCCTGGTTTTATTACCTGTTGGACTTGGTGTAGATAATGATGATAACGATAAACTGTTATTTATTCTCGGACGGTTATATATCTTGCGGGTGTTTGTTTCAAAGTTTATTCTACCAAAATATCTTTGATGAGTTGGTTGAATTGGATAATCTGTCATTTCAATATACCTTTTTATTTTCATTTTTAAAACTTCACACATTTCGCTGTCGATTGCACTATAGTTTACGTTGTAGTTTTTACTATATGTTTCATTGTGGAAAATACAGTTTGGACATTGGAGTATGCTGCTAGTACACATTTTTGCTTGGTGCTTGCCTGCACATTTATAACACGTTGGCTCTTTTTTTGCTTTTTCACACTTTCCGCCGCCGTGGCCAAAACCTGAGTAGTTGTAACACGGATATGTGTTGATGACGTCAAAGACTCTGCAGTTTTGACAACCAATAAATAATTTGTTACTATTGTTTTTTATATGTTTATATAGAATAGATGGAACTTCTACTATTGCAGTTACTGTTTTATTTTTTTCATTTGTAAATACATGATTTACTTTGCATTTTTCTTCGTATTGACTAAAATTTCTTGCATTAATATCAGTTTCTATATCTTTTACATTTGTTGTGAAAGCTTTAGAAATTCCTACTACTTTAACTATCGGTTTACGTATTTCTTCTTTTAGAACAGTAAGTGCCGGTAGTTTTTTTTTGTAAAGTTTTTTCTAATACTGTGACATTTTTTTCGGTCATGCAGTTGATAATTATTGTGTCAGTATTTTTAATTTGTACACTTTTTGTTTGTATGTTTTTGTCTTTAATTAAGTAATGTGCTACTTGATTTTCTAAGTTTCTGTTATCATTACTCTTTTTCTTTATTATTAATCTTGGTATTCTTTTGGGTTTAGGTTTTGGTAGTGCAATTGTTTCAGCATATGTTTTTCTTATAATGTTAGTATTTACATTTTTATTTTGTTTTTCTTTAATTAGTAGTTCATTAAGCAATTCATTTTTTTCTTTTGTATCTTTGTACAGTTCTTTCAATAGGTTATTTTCGGCTTTTAATTGTTGTAATTCATCCAAATCACTGATCTGTGTTACATCCATATGATCATCGTTTTTATTTAAAATTTGCTTTTCATGCACAAGCTCATTTAATATTTCCTGTTTTAATTGTTCTCTACTTACAAGTTTGAATTGTGTTATGAAAGCACTAGCTTGTTCACTTAAGTCCCTATATGGCAAGTTTGATGTTAGTGCAAAATTTGGATGCTCCTGGCATATTATGAATGAGCTGTTTATTAGTTTGATTGCATTTCCTGCATTGATTTTTGCTACTATTTCACTCGTATGATAGAAATTTCCACATACTAAACACACAACTGCTCCTACTTTTGTATTTGGATGACACTTGAAATGCTTATGTAGCGATGATGCGTCAGGCGGTTGCACCTCCGCACCGCTTGATGGCGACATCGCGACCATGATCATTGACAGGTCAAGATTAAATTGAAATTGGCAGTCCTTTTTTTGGGTAAAACTCGTATTATTGTTTTAACTTTAAATTTGATAGAAGTACGTGTTATGTTGCGTTGAATATGAGGAAAATAGAGAATCCGATGCAGAGGATTTCTTTTATCTTGAAAGTTGATATTATATTTCGCTATAGTCACTACTTCGATTAAACTCTATTTTGCTCTTATCGTTACCCAAAATTGACTACATGACATGGCAAATTGACGATCTCTTCTAGGTGCTTTATTTCTGTAAGTCCCTTTGCTTCTCATGTTGGGTGTTTACTTCCGCGAGTCCCCTGTTGGTCACCTCTGGAAACCTAATTTTCTGCATTAGTATTTTCAGAGTCACAAGTATCTAAATTTTCAGTATTTCAAGTCTGTTATAGTCGTTGCTGTCCTTGTTCTACATCAGTGGAAGTTGTAGTAGTAACGGTGTTAATGACATCGGTAATGATAGCAGTGGCTGTAATGATAGCGTCAGCAGTTTATGATCTTGTTATTGATTGAAAAAGTAATAATCGTGATGCTGCACTAGGTGTTAAAATTAATGTTCGCAATTTTCCTTCCATCGTCTATTTTCTTTTCAAATTTTGGAGCCGGTCAATTTTCGCAATTTATTTAATCTATAATAAAGATAATCTTAGGTGAATACTATATAGTTTTCTTGAATGAAATTACTATAATTCTCTACAAGTAGAGTCTAAAAATCTTTTTAGGTAGCTAAAAGATTAATGCACTTTCAGAATTTAAAGGTTTCTCAGAATAAAATGAATTATAATAATAATCTTATTTACCCTACATTTTTTCCCCAATATTATCACGTAGTGAAGTTTATTTACTTTCTATTTAGAGTAAAAATAGTACTGATCGTAAAGTTATTTTAGATAACGTGATACATGGTAACGCACTGTGATATACATACGTTTATGTTGAAAACATCTCATTATATATCGAGATATAGCATCAAAATATTCTTATATGTATAATATATTTATTTTATACAATATCCTACTTGATTATAATATGCTTATTTTATATGTTTGTCTTCATTATAACTTTCAGTATTGTTATTTATTTTGCTTATAACTTTTTTTGTCCTAGAATCTGGAGAACTAGAATTTAATGAATTTTGTACGTTAGCTGGAAGATTTTTAGTTGAAGAAGATACAGAAGCTATGGCACAAGAACTTAGGGAAGCGTTTCGATTATATGATAAAGAAGGTAATGGCTATATTACAACTGAAGTTTTCCGAGATATTCTCCATGAATTAGATGATCAAATACCACCAGAAGAACTTGATCTAATGATTGAGGAAATTGATACTGATGGGTCCGGTACTCTTGACTTTGATGGTTAATGGAAAATAATAAAAATTAATAATAATATTTCATAAATAACAACTTTACTAATATTATTTAATCTTTTAGAATTTATGGCTGTTATGAAAGGAGAGTAACTTTTTATATCGTCAATACAGATATTTAATATAAAAACTATAAAATACGGATGGTTCTTTACCAAATGTTTTAATTTTAGTATAAATAGTGTTAAGTGTTATATACCATATCTGAGAAAGTATTGAAATGGTATAAGGTCAGTAGATGCATTGAAGTTATGGCATTAAATATATTTCATGAATATTATAGAAGAAATATATATCAAGATTTTACGATTTAACATATTGACAAGCTCCTAAATAAATAAATAAATCGTTATCTTTCTAGATAAATAATCGTAAAGACCCAAATGAGCCCACCACACTCCTACATATCCTCCTTTTTCTACCGACCAGTTATTGTGATTTCAGTACCAACCACTTGTGATAGCATTATAATTTACTATGATTGAGATAACATTAAAATTAGTATTATTTAATAAATTATACATAATCTATTGATCTTTTTTCTAGTGAAAGTTCCGTCATCTCACCCTATATATCATTTGATTCAATTATCACGAATGATCACTATTAGGAGTCACGGTGACTCAGTGGATAAGAGTCCAGGCTTCTGTGAAAAGATTCAAGCCCCGGACATATAAAGATTTTCAGAAATAAAATTTTCATATGTATATTACCGTGATTCCGGTGGTTCGGATTCCACCATAAACTGTTGGTTCAGTCACGATGCGTGTTAAAACTTTATTCCTATACCATTTTAAAAAAATGATCGGGGAGGTGAGTCTGCATATTTATGACTATAGGGAACCAAGACTAATGCGTACAGATACTTAGTTTACCTCTGCAGCGTTCCACGTGGACGTAGTTCTTAAAGTAATAATAATAATATCAATAACAATATTTATGTGTCATTCTTACTAAAAAATTTCTATAAGCAGTCATCTTGGATTCAGCAAATCAAATATTGGATTCATTATCAGTAACCACAAAAGTATCCAAACACTGAATTTAATAAGAAACGTTTGATTTTTCAAAAATCTCTACGTGTCACGTGGTTTTGGGAGCCATATTGGATTTTACCACGAACTGAAAAATTTGTACCATTGAAAATAAAGCTCAATACCATTCGTTTGGGATGTTTTAGAGCTCAATGATTTATGATGCTGATTTTATTATCAATTTAATAAACGAAAAAGTAGAGCCACCTGGTTTTGGCGGTTATATTTGATCTGATGTGAAGTTTCGAGGAAAAAGCCACTCGAATTTCAAAAGTAGACTTCAAGATATTTCGATTGATTACCTTTAGAAATTTAATAAACAAAATTATTTATGGCTTGTAGGGAGATATTCGTAGAGAAGGAATGACTCATACGTATTTTTATTCCGAGCATTTATAAAAATATCAAAAAGCTTTATGAAACTTTTTTTGTTCTTAGAATTTGAAATAGTTTCCGTGATTGCTTTTATGAAATACAACACAATTTTCTTTAAGATTTTTTCTTCAATTTTATAATTTATTAAATAACAAATATATTCCGAAAGAAGTATTTAGCAACAAATAACAAAATCGCTGCCAAAAAATCACAAATATAAAAAAAAACACTGATTTTTTCGCTGTTTTTTGAGGTTAAGATGTATTAAAAGTATAATATTGTAATGTAAAATAGCTTGCAAACCTCGGCTTTTATATGTAGAATACGTGTTTTAAATTTCAAGAGGATCAGTCGAGTAGTTTTGCTTAAAATGGTGGTACCACCTTTGAAAACGTTGTTTTGAGAAAAACGCGTTTAGAGTTTTTTTTAATGAAAAATTCTTTAAAAATCTTACCTAAACTCAATCTGCGATACCAGCACCGTACATTTCATCTTCTTCTTGTTCAAATTCTTCATTCTCTACTAATCTAGCTTTCTTTCGTGCTGACCTGGACTCTTTAGAAGATTGACTACTCCTGCGGTTCGCCGTTGAGATGCGCGATGGCTTACTATAATAAGCTTTCGAACGCAGTCCTATGCCTAGTTCCATCAGATTACAAAATTTATTTATACCTGTTAGTCCAATTCCAAGTAACCGAAAAATAAATACTAAGCGACGATTCACTTCATAGCCATTTCCAATTTTGGGACAAGAATTGATATACTTTTCTCCGCACTTTTCACAAGCTACACGCAATTGGAAACCTAGTCCATGCTGAGCATATTTCGTAAATTTAACTGCTCCGTTACACACTTTACACTTTAAATATTCTTGTAACATACAAAAAACTGCAGCAAAACTTATAAACACGTAACCAGACGTGGGATCTTCGTGTATGTCTAAGGTGGCATCTTTTGAATTTTTGAGTTTTTCAGCTGATTTACTTGCATAGTCAGTTCCGGTTTCGTCGGAGAATTGATTCCCGCGAAATTGTTGTTTTTTCTTCCCCGTCAAACCTGCACGAACTCGGTTTGTTCTGCTCCCTTTCGGCATGATGCTGGTCGTACGAGATCACAGACAAAACTGACTGTCGAAATATATATAAGAACAGCACTAGAGCTGGTTTATTTCCCTCCAAAAACTATATAGTAACACTTAAATTCAAAGAAAAAAGGTCGAAAACATAGTCGAAAAAGAGAATATACGATTTACTTCAGGTAGCAGCAGCATTTATTATCTAAGAGATTTAGCCAGCAGAAGGGGCGGGCAAGCGCGTGGAGCTGGCGTAGCGCGCTCAGGTAGGCGCGCCGAGGTAGTGATGTACAGGTCACAAAAATATATAGTTACACTGCTCGGATCTTTATAAAATTTTGACACAATATTCTTACATACATATACATTCGAAAAATGTAAAAAAAAAAATCGATTTTTCAAAAGTCGAGTAGTGGGTAGACCCCTTAATTTCTGATTCAATTTTGCTCTTCTTTTCTTGCTGTATATTTCTCACATAATCTTCTATCGAACGTGGAGTTTGATTATTATTGATCAGATTTTTTCGTTCTTTCATGATCCGATAACATACTACTCGGCAACTTTCACACAAAAATTCACCACTTTGCAAAAATGAAGAAAAGTCAGCATAGATCCCATCTGACAATTTTTTGAAATTCCCTCTACGGGCTTTTTCATGTTTATCAAAAATATTTTTGCAATATTTAATGCTTATGGGGCTCTTTCTTACCATTTTGAAAGCACAAAACTTCACTGGAATGGCAGACACAACCTTCTACGTGAACGTTCACGAGAAAACTAAATTTGGAGGACGAACCTCAGAGACTTATATTTCGGCCAGCCTACCTCACACCTACAAATTTTCTTAATAATAAATATTGTCACTCTCACCTACACTATCTATGAGGCCATAAATTAGAACTGTCATTAGTGCGACATCAGCTAATTGCCAGGTGCTTAAGCCTGACGCCAAGAAGCTGTCCAACCGGCGCGTCTTAGGGCCCTTAATTATTATAGATTTGTATCACTAATACAAAAGCTGAATTTATTTGATATTAGGTTAACAATAGTATAATAAAATAGAGGTAATAAAGACCAAATTGTAGTAAAAAAAAAATACAAATACAACAAGAAAGCTACAATCGGTTAGTGTGCCGCCCGAGCGTCTGCGGCCGTCCGAACGGCGCGTCGGCGCCGAAACTAGTTTATTATTTATTACGAGGCTGGAAGTGCCGATTACAAAAATGTTAAAACAGTTTTTCATAGAAAAAGGGCCAAGGAATACAATGGAAAAAGAATTTTTTAAATCCAAGACTACCGTCATCGAAAAAAATTTACTTTTTATATTCAAAAGTTAATAATAGCTTTTGCGGTTAGCGAAATATGAATAGAAAAAAAAATTTCGTTGAAATTTTTTAATTGTTAATAACTTTTTAAATAATTAATATATTGACCTAAAAATTTGTACGGATATTGTTCTTCATATAAACAATCATCCTACCAAGTTTCATGAAAATCGATGACATATAGGTCTGGAGGCATTCGCCGTAAGCGAGAATGGGCCATAATTCAATTTCGCGCGAATAGGATTGTGTTCTGAATGCGGTTTAGATTTCGTTATTAATGGGATACTTGCATAATTAATATTCTTTAAACTCTTTGGATATAAATACAATTTTCTCGCTATTATTTGATAAGCAAAAATAACAGTCATTAACGTGATCTGTGGTTCTTGCCGTAGCATAAGAGAACTAAAAGGCTCAGAATTTCTAACTCAATTTTTCTAAAGTCTTAGTAATTCTGCACAAATGCTACGAACCAGACTTCGAATCTAAGATTTATTTAAATTAGTAATATCTTGGTTAGGATATTCTTGTATATTGATTTTAATGATGATCTCAGTATTTGAAGTTGTTTACTTTAATAACATTTACCGCAAACATAACACAATTTATCTTTATAATTTATACAAATTCTTCGAGAGATATTCTATAAAAAAGGTAATTCACAACTCTTATTTAAATTTGAATTTAATTAGTTTTTTACTTAAAATTATAATATTTATTGAAGTATATCTATAACAAACTACTTTATTATCTAAATGTAATTTACCAATTATAATAATACTGTCCATATCTATCCCAATATTACAAAGGGTCTAGCCGGGTGAGATGGTTAAAAGTGCCGTCGAGCCTCCTGAAAAAGTAAATAGGGCATTTTGTTGGGATTGTTTAGAAACTCCTTTCCCTAAATTTTCAGACCCCTAGACCAATCTGGGGCAGTATGCGACCCCATTTTATGTTTTACAGTTATTCGACGATATCTCGGTCAATTTTCGAGCTAGAAAAAATTTTTTTTTTTCATTTTGTAGGGTTTTTTAAGCCCTACAAGACCGTTATATCGGAAAAATGTTTGGCGCCAAATTCAAATTTTTATTACGTTCTAAAATATTCAAAAATTTTTTTTTCAAAAATGATAGATACCTCAACGCTGGAAAAAATATATATTGTGTAGTTTTACTCTAGAAACACGCCCATATTTTTTTTAGATTTTTAAAATGTGGAGAACGTCCTTTAAAAAAATAAAAACCCTTAATAACATGGATTTTCGCTTCTAGCGCCGTAAGTTCAAATTGTATGACAAAATAGATGACGTCGTCAGATTCTACGTCAAAAAATACATCGAAAACATATGTCATACTTTTGAAATAGAGTGTCTCTTTCATTAGTTTTTACGAATAACATCATTTTCTACGCCGTTCGTCCCGGCTGACTGCGCCGACACTCAATTTTTTCGACTACAAAGTCAACCCAACATTAATTCTACACATAAAATACATGTTTTCGATGTATTTT